TCAAAATTTGATTTTTTAGTTAGATATTAAGTGTAATAAAATTATCATTGATTCTGTTATTGAAAATAATATAAAAAAAATTTTAAGTATTTGAATTTTTTTTAAACTTTTGTTAACTATTTAATTAGTAATGTTCAATTGTATTAAAAACTAAATAATCAAACAACAATCACAAGTTTTAAGTCGGTCTGTTACGATTTATTACATGGGGATCATTTCTTTATGTCTTGCATGCAGGGACCATTTTTATAAAATCAAACATAACCATTTTTAAGTTGACAGTTTTGAAAACTAATATTTATTATGAAATCCACATTCCACACACCATATACTTTATTGTCCTAACATTGCATATATATTAAAATAATAATAACTAACCATTTATCTCATTTTTAAGAATGGATGCAACCAAAAATTAAATACATTAAAATTAAACAAATATATTTTTTCAAAAATAAGATAAATTATAACATATTTAGTATGCATAGATGGGTCTATAACAAAATTATCTTAAACAGTAATGGAATTAATAAGCCTACATACCTTATAGATTCATGTGAATATGTCACATAAAAGAATTTTTTTTTGTAAGGTGGGTAGATATAAATTTAACAATCCAACTTCTAACATGACACAACTAAAGTGGTTATAAAAAGATGGGCTCTAACTTGATAGGCTTGAATACATTTTTGGATGATTTTGCTCTTGCTGATTGTTACATGGCTAGATAGGTTTGTCTCTGTTGTTGGCGTTTTTGAATACCGAAGAGGTTATTTTGGATCATGGATTTATCCTTGTTGTACAACTTCTCCCAAAAGCAACTAAGATGCCTCCCATGTTGTCTTTCCAATGAATTGGACAATTTTGCCCTTTTCTTTTGGTGTTGCTATTAAGCTCCAATCCACTCTACCTGGAATTGGAAAAATTCTCCCTCAAATAACTAATGTCTACTTTACTTGAAAACATAGTTGTTATACTTGGTTCTGCATATAATAAGACCATAAAATCAGCATAAAAGAAATCACAAATAGATTATCTATGACGTTCACTATTTGGGTATAACATCCATCTCATTTAAAAACATGAAAAAATTAATCAATATCACGATTATAGCCTGTTGCAACCAGGAATTCAAAAGTTAAAAATCCAGGATGGCTTTAATGATTCAAAAGGATCAATGATTGTTTTTTCAATATAAAATTGTGATTTTTTGTTGCAATCTTTAAGCCTCAATACTCGAAAATAGAAAGGTTAACAGTTAATGATGTTAAAATGGTTTTAAATTTGGACTAAACATTGTAAACATCAAAATGAATAGGGGACATCTATGTAGTTATATTGAAAAGTTATAACTCTTGATTAAAAAAATAAGAGAATTTTATATAATTGGTCTATATGGTAATTGCTTTTTGCAGTTTTGGTCTAAGGTTAAAATAGTCATTTTAAAATTAATACAACAATTGAGTCGTTAAATTTAACAATTCAGGACCTGTTTGTTTGCCTGATATGTCATATTTCACTTGTAACGGACCTGTTGCGTGATATAAAAACATAAGACAAACATTACTTATCTTTTTCTGTGTGTCTATAGACTTTTTTGCACTCTAATTAGTAGATATTGCTTGATTAGATAATCATAGATAGTCATTTGTACTCATTCACATGGTTTATTCAGTTAAAAACAAAACATACATTGGTGAGAGAACTTACATGATCATACTTGGTACTTGCATAAACCCATCCCAAACTGAATTACTACATATAACTTCCAGAAAGGTCATCAAGACCATATAGGGGCAGAAAGGTCATTAAGCAACAAAAAAATACTTCTTTTCAATATGCATCATAAATGACACCAACTAATGATGAGAGCTTACAGGATACAAATTTTTGTTACCAAATTCACCACTCCTACAAAACACAAAGAGTTTTAAGCGAGCATCTAAAATAAACACATATGTTACACCTTGCAGGGGAAAAATGTCATTAATCACCCAATTACTTAAACATTGCTCCAATATAGCCACCATCTATGTTAATAAATTCATTCTCAATTCAATTGATGATATGAACAGATACCTCTGTTCAGATAGTCATGAAAACCCACAAATAGTAGATTTCAGTTCTAATTTAATGGACAAACTCACATTTGGAATATTAGCTTATATACAAATTTAAGGAAATTAACGACTTTAACTTTGTAGCTTAAGACTTGTGGTGTACAATTTCAAATTTAATCATGGATAATAAAACATCCATATATTATTTATCAAGTAAATACATATGAAATAAGAATAGAATGTGAACAAAAATAAGATATGAAGACAAATAAGAAATTAACCTTTTGTAGGTGGCTACCATCACTCAACAAAACCCTAGCATACACAAATCCATTGAACAAATAAAAATTTTAAATTAGAATAAAAAATATGTCTAAGAACAATATCTGAAAAGTAAAAAGAATAAACCGATGGTCAATGAATCAATTGTCACCTATGCATGAAATGAAGCTATTTGACTGCAAATGGTTAGAAACTTAAATCAGAGGTATTAAAGTTAACTCATCCCTTTCAAGAAACCTATGACCAACCTGTGTAGTTTTGTTTAAACTGATCTGCAAGAAAAGTTACAAAATAACAAAAATAATGAAATGAAGGGAAATCACCTTTAATTTGGAAAATATGTTTCTCTGTAACATCAATACAGAGAGAGAGAGAGAGAGAGAGAGAGAGGAGCATTGAATAGAGCTTACTTTGATGTGACCGATGTTTGGTGGTACGTATGTGGTGGCAGCGTGAAGAAGTTCAAATTCAGGGTTTTTATGGTTCTTGGAGAGATGTGTCTGATGGTGCTCGCGTATGGTGGGGACGGTAGCACAACGATTCTAGTGTTGACCGTAGATGAGGCCGGCGATGGTGGCAATGACATATGAAATCTAGGGTTTTAAAGTAATGGTGATGGTGGTGAAGTGTGATCTGATTTGTGAGATTGGAGGATAACATCATCGTAAAATATAGAAGGAGATGATGTCGGATAAAGGAGATAAGGGCCGAGAATAAGGGGAGTTTGGTATTCAGTGGTTTGTCTTCAATGCCAGATGAAAACTCGAAATGGTTTCATGAGATGGGTTCTAGGGTTTCGATTGTGGCTAATGGCCATGGAACTGGAGAGCATTTGGATGAGGCAGATTTGGCAATTGGCGGTGAGTTGTGGGCATATTAGGGTTTTAAACAAAGAAGATAGGGGTAAGCAACAAACGCGTTTTTGAAGACTAAACAAAATCAAAATCGATGGTGGGTTTTTAATGGTGGTGGTGGTGGTGGCGGTGGTGAGGCAATGGCAGAGGTACCAACAAGAAAAATTAAAAATTACAACACCACCGTAAATAGAGATTACTACAACCAGATTAACCTACACTACTCACGAGACGTGCGTCGTTAAATAGAGATTGTGAGGAAGGGCATAGACGACTAGTTAACAATTACTTTGCGGATAATTGTGTCTACTAGCCAAACGATTTCAAAATAATGTTTCGTTTGAGAAAAAATGTGTTTGAAAGAATAGTCAACGCCATGGAAGCAAGATATCGTTTATTTCAACTTTTCTTATTTATAAATATCACTTTTAGATAAAATAAATACAATTTAGGTATCGTTTATTTCAACTTTTCTAATTTATACATGTCACTTTTAGATAAAATAAATACAATTTTTACATGTTTAATATATATTTAGGTATGACTTTTTCCAATTGAGATATGATGCTAGAGGTAAACGAGACTTAACAGGGTTGCAGAAATATGTTGCTGCAATTAAATTTATGGCAATGGGCGAGTCGTCCGATTATGTTGACGATTATATGAAAATGTCTGAGAGGACCGCACGAGAAAGTTTGTATTTATTGGCAAGAGGTGTTATCGAAACCTTCGGTGACAAATACTTGTGCAAACCTTCGTTGCATGATATGCAACAACTATATGCGGCTCATGAAGAAAGACATGGTTTTCCGGGTATTCTTGGGAGTATTGACTGCACATACTGGAAATGGAGAAATTGCCCCGTGACGTGGAAATGCTAATATTCGAGCGGTCATCATGGAGCGTCTTCGTTGGTATTAAAGGTTGTTGCTTCACAAGATTTATTATTTAATTTATATAATAAATATAATTATTATGATATAAATAAAAAAACAAATTCGAAATATAGAAAAGAAAAGCATCAAAAAGAAATTAAAAAATAAAATAGAAAATAATTGGTGTTATCACATGTTATTAGATGTAACCCATTTTCACCTTGAGTGTTATAACATTCATGTATGAGTAGGATGTTGTCGTGGTACATTTTGAATATGATAAAATGTAATAATATGATGTCTACACCTAGTAGCTCATACCTAATAGTCTTATTAGGTTGGAGGGAATCGTGTTACCGAAACCGCACTCTTTTCGTTGTCACATAAACGTCACATCATTTTTACCACAAAAGTGCGGTTTCTTGTTACACCAAATGAGTGATGTGACACTTTATTTTATTAAAAAGATAATTTAAATAAAACATTATTTTTCTCTCCACCAAATCACACTATGGTCTAAACCGCATCCAAACCTCATTCCCCTACCTATATAGCAAAAAGTCGTTAAAGACTCCAACACTCCCCACACCCTTAAGGCTCCTTCATTCTCATTAACGGCTTCTTGCCTACAGTTGAATTGTTGTGGGGAATGAGAGTTAGAATAGGGCCCAAAGAAATGGAAGGCCCAAATTTTTTATCTTAGGCATTAGCTTCTTAACAAAACGAATGTATCTTACCAATTGGGAAGACACGGATTCAAGAAATAAAAACTATTGAAACAAATCGTCATTCTTGGAAGTCTGAAACAAACGAATCAAATGGTTTCCGCCAACCAATTAATTTTCTAGTAAGAATTCAAAGTATGCATTCCAATTATCATGCTTCAGGGCTTATATTTCGATTTATAATTGGTTTTCCTACTTCCCAAGGTAACTTTTAGCATCCTGGGTTATGCGCATAAGCTGTTTGATGAAATTCCTGTTAGAACTGTGGAAGGTAATGAAATCGGCGTTACCAAACGAGTGCTCATGACCATGACAGAATGGGATTGTTTAAAAGATTCTAAATAAAAAAGAACCTTGAGGAAACTTTTGTTATGTAATTGGAGTTCTTCTCTTCATGTATTTAGTTAATTTTCTATGTTTCTTCATATTTAAAACATTAACTTTTGCAGGAATCGGCATATTAGCTTCTTAACAAAACGAATGTATCTTCAAGATGGAAAGAGCTTTTACTCTATGCAAGTTTGATCGATTCTCTCCTTTCCTCACTGGACTACTTCTACTTCTTTGCAATGAAAACCGGCATTAATCGCTAAATTTTAGCCACTGGTTTTATGTTTGTCGGGGGAAGAAAACCAACATTTTCTCTTTGCAATCGTTGTGCACACCAACTGTTCGACATATTGCTTCATAGACTGTTTCCTCACCAAATATGAGAAGTTCAATCTTACCATTGTTACGTCTACACCAACCCTTAACATCTTCCCTATACGACAAAATCTGGGACAATTCCTCTTTCACGAAATCAAATTTTATGTGGATTCAAATCATGCACAAAACCTGTGGAGGAAGAAGACCCAAAAAGAAAATCTACCACAGAGTCCATGAACTAGACAAAGCCATGGACCTCCAAAAGAAACCCAATCTCATCCTTAAGCTCAAATCAATCATCCAATCACAAAAGAACCAATCTTTACTTCTCAGAGACCTCGAAAAAGAAGTGGGATTTATTCAAAAATGGAATTTCATAGCTGTTATTGAAAAATACCCATCAATATTCCACGTCAGCAGTGGTCACAAAATACCACCTGCAGTCTCACTTACCAAAAAAGCCGAAAAGATTGCTTCTGAAGAATCTGTAGCCAATGAACTCATGGAACCCATTTTGGTCAACAATTTGAAGAAACTATTAATGTTGTCAGTTGATTGTAGGTTGCCACTTGAATCCATTGATTTAATTCAACCCGAATTCGGTTTACCTTCTGATTTCAAGAAATCTTTAATCCCAAAATTTCCCGAATTTTTCTCTGTAAAAGAAGTACGCGGGATTCCCCATCTTGAACTTGAAACATGGGATTCCTCCCTTGCGATAACTGCCCGAGAGGAAAGATTGATCCAAGACAGAATTTCGGGCAGTTCCGGGCAGCAGAAACGGGCACGAATTTCAAAAGATGGAAACTTTCATGGCCCTTTTGCTTTTCATTTAAAATTCCCAATTGGGTTTCGACCAAACATGAGTTATCTTCAAGAACTTGAAAAATGGCAAAAGATGGATTTTCCTTCTCCTTATTTGAATGCAAAAAGATTTGAAGTTTCTGATCCTAAAGCTCGGAAGAGGGTGGTTGGAGTTCTTCATGAGGTTCTTAGTTTGACTATGGAGAAAAGGTTGACTTCTGCACAGCTGGAAGCATTTCATTCAGAATTGAGATTGCCTGCTAGATTGTTGCTTTGTTTAATTAAGCATCATGGTTTGTTTTACATTACTAATAAAGGTGCAAAGAGTAGTGTTTTTCTTAAAGAAGGTTATGAAGGGTCAAGATTGGTTGATAAATGTCCTCTTTTGATGTTTAGGGATAAGTTTGTAGCACTCAGTGGGAGGAGAGATGTTGAACATTCATCATGTGTTGTATGAACATGAATTTAGAATTTTATTTTTTTTTATATGAATATGTTCTTTATGCTTTTATAAACATCTTTAGAAAATCTATATGTGACATTTGTATGACAGTTAATTGATACATGTTTGACTTTTGAATATATGTATCCATGTGATAGATACTATACATATTTGTATGTTCATAGGAGCTCGATATTATATAGTTTATTATATCATGGCATTTTATTTATTCAAACTAATCTTGACAACATTAGTACAAAATGTATGTGTATAAAGGAATAGTGAAATATGCAAATTTTAATGATAACATTTATAAAATTTAGCATACTGGTATAAACATTTGAAACAGAATGTAGAGTTGCACAAAATCGGGCCTAGGCCTGTGATGGCTACTATGGGCCTGTGGCTATAAATTAGGCTTTGCAAAAACGGGTCCAGCCTGAACCTATAAAAATTATGCAACTGGTCTAAAACAGGGTTTAGAAAAAACTGTTATGAAAAGGAACCGAATAAACCCGATTTTTTAATTATTTTTGGTTTGATTTTGTTCCAAGTTTAATCCCTAACTATAACAAGATATCCAAATTATCCTTAAAATATTTTTTCTGTATTTTATTAATGAAATTTATTTTAGAAAATATTTTGTTCCGCTCCACCGCCACTCTTGTTCCAGCTACTAGCGTCATCCTCCCTCTCGTTCTCTTTTCTCTTACTGGAAAACACCTAAAATGGCATCGTTGGAAAGCACCCTCTCTCTCTCTCTCTCTCTCTCTCTCTCTCTCTCACACACACACACACATACACAAACACACAACCTTCATGTCACCGCCACTACACTCATTGATCTCTATCACTACAAGTCTACAAAACAAGGATTCTGAAACTACACAAGCCCTCCATCACCACAAGTCCACAACCCTCATCATCCACCCTATCTCTTAAATCAAACTCCATAGCTGCTACAAGGGCATCACCAATACCGCCTAACAACTATTAACAGAACGTCTCACATTCATCTTTGTTCTTACGGAATTGTATTAAAAAATCTAAGACTCTCTTTCAACGTTCAAATATTTGATTGCTCACCACCGCCAAACTAAAGAATGTAACAGTGCGTTTGGTTGTGAAAATTTTTTCAGTTTTCCATGAAAATTTTCAAATGAAAATGAAAATTTGGAAAACGCATTAAGTTGATTTAGTTTTCAAAAAAAAATCCAAGAAAATAAAAGTTTTCTATTTTTCAAATTGTATGTAAATTATAAATGTGATTTTTTACAATTTTCTATAGTTTTTTAAAATTTCTGAAACTGAAAATTAAAACTCAATCGATTTCAAACAAACGTGTTTTCTTAAAATTTTCATTGAAAAATAAAAATGAAAACTTAACTCTATTTTCTAAAAACACGTTTTAGATAAACAAAAAATAATTTTCCACAACTAAACGCATCGAAAAATTTCTTTTCATTGCTCTACTTGGATAGAGAATATGGTAGGTTGGTGGCATCGAGATCATGTTCAATTTCACTTGGGTTGCATCGGGTTTTCATTTCCACATGTTAAAAAGAACTATATACTAAATTATTCTTAAATTATTATATATATCTTAATTTCAAAAGAGGGATGATAACATTGAAGAGGAAACTCTTTGGTATATTTTAAGATATAGGGTAAATCAGCATATTTGTATGTATTGTAATGTGTAGATATTGTTTAATTGTATGTATTGTAATCTGTAGATATTGTTTAAGATCCTCAACTTCAACTTTATATACAAAACACGTTTCCTTCATGTTCCATTTTGATATTTTTGTGTTATCCTTTTTTATCAGTCGCTTTAACGTTATAATACGCCGTACCTTCTCTCCCGGTAACCGGTCATCCCACCACGTCGTCTTCTTCCGACTCTTTTTCTCTTTTCCTCTCTGCCTTTTTCACAAACCGCGAATCCTTCTTTCTTCTTTCATAGATTCCTCCGCCTCCAAGAATTTCTACATGTCTTGCAGATAAGAGAGAATCAAAGTAAATAGATAACAATGAAGAAGAACTATCCTTGAGTAAATCGAATTCCCCCCCTGTAGTAATCCATTAACAATGATATGTTATCATCCCCATTTTACGCTTCAATTTCTTCTATTTTTACTCAGTTCTTCCAATAACCCTCGCCTAACTCTCATCGGTGCTAATCACACCTCCGCCCGTTTCTGCTCCCGTTAGTCTCATCCATACCCGACTGAATTCAATCTCTCTCCATGGGGACTTCCACCGGAAAACGCGGCTTGCTCCGAAACATTGTGGTTCGATTTTTCTTATTCTCGCTTCTCGTCTTCGGCATTCGGTTTGCTTATGTTATTGTTATCCATGGCGAATCGTGCGATATCGGCGATGAATTCTGCTTTTTCTCCTCGTCAAATTTTTTTGAAAATCAAAAACTCGTCACTACTGCTGGTGTCGGACATGCATCTTCTTCCTCGGTTATCCTCCATCCCGCTGCTGCTTCGACGCCGGAGTTTCAGAAACGTGTGATGTTTTATATCACCGTGTTCCAGGATCTCATAGTTGACGGATTTCTTTTCACGAAGTCTAAGGCTCTGTGCGTCGAAACGCCTATCGGTGACGACGTTTACGCTTTGAAAGAGATTGGCGTCGACGACGCAGTCGGGATATACAAGAAAGCGGCGAAGCCGCTGGTAATTAACGGGCTAGGGTTCCGGCAGCCGTTTCAGGATAACACGTTTGATTTTATATTCTCCGGCGCCGGTGGGTTAGACAGATCGGAAAAGGCAGCGGAATTCGCCGAAGAGGTTCAACGTACACTTAAACCCGAAGGGTATTTCATTGTTCATACAGCATCTAAAGATACGTACAGTTTCAATTCGTTTATTGGTTTATTCAATTGTTGTAAATTCATACGTTCGCGTCATATCGATGGATTCGATTCCGATATGCCTGAAATACACGAAATCGTGATGCAGAAAGTGAACGATATGAAAATCATGAGAAAATCCGATCAAAATTCAAACAACAAATGCTCTGTTCCAGGTTATAAACAAGATTTAGTCAAGAGAGCCGAGCCTTTGATTCCAAAAGAACCATTGAAACCATGGCTGACACTAAAGAGAAACATCCAGAATGTGAAGTATCTCCCTTCCATGGTGGACATCACCTTCAAGCAAAGGTACATCTACATAGACGTTGGTTCTCGCAGCTATGGTTCCAGCATTGCCAGTTGGTTCAAGAAACAGTATCCAAAGCAAAACAAGACATTCGAAATATACGCCATTGAAGCAGATAAGCACTTTCACGATCAATACAAGTCAAAAAAAGGCGTCACCTTGTTGCCATACGCTGCATGGGTTAAAAACGAGAGTCTAACCTTTGAAATCAACCAAACTCCAGGCGATGAAAACGTTGAAAAAGGAAGAGGCATGGGTCGGATTCAACCAGTTGAGTCAGGTGGTGGGATTGTGGGATCGATTGATGAGATCCAAGGATTTGATTTTGCAGAGTGGTTGAAGAATACAGTGACAGAAAAAGATTTTGTGGTGATGAAGATGGATATCGAAGGGACAGAATTTGATTTGATCCCAAGGTTAATTGAAACTGGTGCTATTTGTCTAATCGATGAGGTTTTTCTTGAATGCCATTACAATCGGTGGCAGAAATGTTGCCCTGGTGTGAGAAGCCCTAAGTATCAAAAAACTTATGGACAATGCTTGGATCTGTTCAAATCCTTGAGACAACGTGGTGTTCTTGTTCATCAATGGTGGTGACTCATGACTGGTAATATCATACACTTAATACTCTTTTTCTTTTCGTTGTTATTATACATGAAAATATGAAATGTTGTACGTGTAGATCTTCTTCTCCATAGTTCATTTAGATTTTCCTTGTAAGAATGCACATTTTATTTGATCATATTATGTTTATATCTTTGATAGTTATGATATGATTCTTGATTTTTCACTGATTATGGGCAAGGTTTAACAAAGATTTTGTAGGGGATTTGGAATGACCTACATGATTAAATGAAGCATATGATGTTTGTCTTAAAGAATGTAGGTATAGCTGTAGATGTTCTGGAATGGTCCCATGTATTATTTATGACCCTTTTTATTAACTTAGCCACAAAATTCAAAAGTGGCATATGCTTAATGCTTTATATGGTTTTTAGTTAGGAAAGCTAAAGCAAAAGTCATGCATCTTGTGAATTGTCTTTCAAGTTAATTTAGGTATGTGTGTGTATACGTATTCCATACACATACCATACAATTTGTTGATCTACTTTTATTATGTAATAACTAATATAACAAGCAACTAAAATATATTACAACTCACAAACATACTATGTCTATATTACTATATATTATATTACATTCAAGATTCAACTTCACATCACATCATGGAATATGGATTAGTCTTCATGATCCCATACATCCGCTACACTCCGAAATGGTCCATCGTTCTTGTTCACAAACAAATCTTCACCATGCAAAACTCGCTTCTGCTTATAATTTCATAATAATTTTATAATAATATTACTATAAAAATCAAAGGAAAAAAAAAAAAAAAGTAAATCACTACACAAACCTGATCCGAGATGCTGCTAAGAACATTGAAATCCTGTTCAGGAATTGCCCCAATCGAAGACCTGCATGTTTTCCTTGATCCTATCTGCGTTCGTTGATTTTGGTATCACACTTGTTCCTCTTTGAATCGCCCATCTCACAAGCACTTGCCCTGGGCTCTTGTTTAACTTCCCTGCTATCTTCTCCACCGTTGGATCATGGATCAGATCTCGTCCGTTGTCTTGTGAACCCAATGGGGAGTATGCCTACAACATATCATGAAATGAGATATTGCTGGTGATTGAAAAGAGAAAATAAAAAAAGAAAGGTCGTTTATGTTATTACAGTGACATGGATTCCATTCTTCTTGCATGCTTCCAGCATTTTGTCATTCCTCCATCCTGGATGCATCTCCATCTAAAAGATTTGAAGAAAGTTGAAGCTCGGAAGATGAATGAAGAACTCTGAATGAGATGAGGTGATGGAAACCTGGCACACGGAAGGCATTGTTTGTGCAAATCCAGTTAATTTGTTGAGTTTTTTTAATGTGAAATTGCTGATTCCGATGTCTCGAACAAGGTTTTGTGTTTTTAGCTTCTCCATTTCTCTCCAAACACCTTCCATGTCGAAGTTCAAGATATCTCCTGCTTTGGGAGGGCTACTGGCTCCTTCTTTAAGACGAAATGGCCAATGGATCTGTAAACAGTAATATTAAAAATAAATCGTGGAATAGAATTTGAATATGAAAACTATAATGAAGTTTACCAGATAAAGATCAAGGTAGTCGAGCTGAAGCTCTTGAAGTGTGTTCAACAATGCTGGACGAACCCTTTCCGGAGACAAATCATGACACCTGAATGTATGTATGTTAAAGGAAACTCTATATTCTTATCAATTTATCATCAAATTTACTAAAATTTCATGGTGTACCATAGCTTGGATGTGATGAACAGATCCTTCCTCTCGATTCCTGCATCTATGGCTGCCTTGAGACCATGCCCTACCTGAAAATAGGTTTCAAAATGTTTGTTATTATAATTAACAAGGAGAAACGAATGTAAAGTGTATGATTTGAATACCTCTTCGTGAACGCCATACTCCCATGCTGTATCAATGTGTCGATAACCAGCCTGCAATTAAATTTACGATAAGAACAACAACCATTGCATCGACTTTGAGAGCTCCAGAATGCGTTGATCTGATCAATTTCATTTGTTTTGCAAAATTAAAATGACCTAAACTTGAGATCTGATTTAAGTCGTGTAAGAATCGAGTTTAGTTCAGGTATAGAAGAAAGAGGAGTTAATTGGAAATAAGAACGAAGGATGGATGATCGATGTGACCTCGAGAATAGCGGTGGCGACGGAATCGGAAGCTTGGGAACCCGATCTCCATGTCCCTAATCCAACGGCGGGAATTCTGTGTCCACTCAACAATACAAACGATTGTACATCTTCCTTTGCTCTCAATGTTGATTGCGCCATTGATTCTTCAATACTGAGAAACTCTAATTAAACCATTTCCCTCCCGATTTCTTGCTTTATTCATATAGGGACTGAAGAACGAGTGGATGATGAAAATCGGAAGGAAGATGTAACACGTAGCTCGTTGTTTTCAGTGTCAGCAACATTGCCGGATTCCCCTGTTCTCGCCACGTTGTGGTTTTCGATCCTTTTCCTCCATGAATGTTCATTGCTGGCACATACGTGGCGGATTTCCTTTTTCAGGGAAAACAAATGATGCCATCTTGGCTCTTTATCCAAGTCTTGTTTTTAACTGAAGCTGTAAAGCAAATCTAAGTTATGTAAAATGGTTTGAGGTAATATTTTTTTTTAACTTATTAGTTTTTCAAAAGGGTGTTTGGCATCAAAAGTCGTTTTTATAGAAAGATTTTTTGTAAAAAAACTTTTTATAAAAAGAACGCTCTTTAAAAAATGTTTGGATTAGCAAAAGGATTTTTAGCTTAACTTTTACATGTAAAGTCACAAAAAGTTAGGTTTTTGTGACTTTTTGAAACCCTTCATTTTACTCTATACAAAAAGTCATTTTAAAAAGAACTTTTCTATTATCCAAACATATTTTTAACTTTTTGAAAAAAAAATAAAGTCAAAAATCATTCTAAAAGCAATCCCACATAAAATGTCAATAAATTAGAAAAGTGTTTGGCAACAATAACTTTATTGGAAAAAAATGATTTTTTTGAAAAGTTAAGAATTTCTTGCTTTTTCAAAAAGTAAGCATTTTGAGAAGCAATCTTAAACGCTCCTTATATATCATATATATTTTTTATTTCCAAAAAACCAAGAATTTCCGAATCCAACTCATCCTCCTTGGTTCAAAGATTTGACAATTGCAACAATCACTACTGCATCAACTTCACCTTCGACCACCACTTACAACCATCACCGTTGCCATAGACACCAAATCAAACCTGAGATCAAACAAAAATTAAACCTTAAAACCGAACCTAAATCAAAGATCAAAACCAAACCAAAATAAAACGTGAAATCATAACTCATAACCAAACCAAAATCATCAAAACCAAATGTGATAATCAAATCTAAGTGTGTGGCATGAGGTTGTAGATGATAGCAGGGATCCGGTGTGGGAGAATGACGGTTACAAGCCAAAATGGTAGTAGATTTCATAAAGGGAGAGCGTTGGTTATCAACCAAAACGGATTTGAATGTAACTAGAAAGGCTCGAGATCCCATCAAGCACCCGATTTGACTTCTATAAATTTATTTCGGTGGGTGTTCAATGATTATTCAAGTTGCGATTTGATTTTCATAAATAAGTTTTTTTTTTTGAACTGGCAAATATTATTAAAAAAAAATGACCACCGCCTAGTAAGTTACTAGACGGGGCCAGGATAACAACAGAACAGTTACAACAAATATCAATGATCTCAAATACAACTTAGAGGACATGCACACCATTCTACCCACTTGAAATTACAGTTTGTTCTCCTATGTTTTAGCCAAGTGTACACCGGTGATTTCACTCCATCTGTAATCTTAAAGGGGAAAGTACGTATGTTTTTAAACATCCAGTTGCATCTCGATTTCCATATCAGCCATATAGTGCCAAAATATACGCTGATGAAGTTATTTCTCCTCTTCACACATGATCCCCAACTATTTAAAAAACTTATGAGTTCTCCAATATCATGGAGCTGCGGTTGAGGAATCGCACACCATTTGAACACCAACTTCCAGACTGCAGTCGCCACAGGACAACGAATCAGGATATGTGTCGTATCTTCATCCTCCTACAAACATTGCGAACATTTAGCTTCAATCCCTGACACCCCTCTTCTTATCAGCACCTTGTTGGATGGAATTCGACCAAGATTGGCTCTCCAAATGAAAGTTAAAACCTTGATTGGGATATCATGTATTCATGGTATAATCACATCGCTGCTCGCCGGTTCCATATTATCTAATTTTAATCTAAGGTCATGTACGTGATAGTTTCCATCATTCGATATGGTACACTTCCAATTATCCATCCTGGATGTCGGGTGGAAATCACCTATAACAGTTAAAAGCGTTTGCAAACTCTGTACTTGATCATCCGTTGTTAAGGACGATCTCCACTTCCACGTTTGACCTGCCTCGTGAATCCTTTCCTTAACTGTACATGACTTTCGGCTCTCCATTTGAAGCAACTTAGGAAATCTCTTTCTTAAAGGTTCCTTATCACACCATGCATCCATCCAAAAGAGAGTGTCACCACCATCTTTAACCTGTTTTCTTAAAATATCTTGAAAACTGATTCCCGCCTTTTCTAATTCCTTTATTACCCCTGCTATGTTGTTCCATACACCGGGGATGGTTTTCTTTGAAAGTCTCTCTGCATGTTTATTTTTTAAGTTATGAATTCCCACGACTACTCTTCGCCACAGTGTTGATGTGTTACTCTTCATATCCCCCCACCATTTAACTATTAATGCCAAGTTAAAAGCTCGCAGGGAACCTAATACCAAACCCCCTTTTTCTTTTGGAGCAATGACTTTCTCCCATGAAACCCATGATATTTTACACTTATTATCACCTCCACCCCAAAGAAATTGTCTACAGATTTTTTCAAGTATTTCAATGACACCTGTTGGAGCAACAAAGATTGACATGTAATATGATGGAAGGCTACCGAGAACAGCCTTAGCCAAGGTCAATCTACTCCAAATGAGAGTGTTTTTGCTTTCCATGGAGAAAGTTTGGAATAGAATCTGTCAATTATGGGTTTCCCATGCTTTTTTAACTTCATATTCGCCCCCACCGGTATCCCAAGATACGTGAACGAAAGAGAAGCAGGTTCACATCCTAATGGTGCAGCCCATCGAATGACTTCATGCATGTCAACTTCAATACCAAACACCCTTGACTTAGAAAAGTTAACTTTCAATCCCGATGCTACTTGAAAACATCTCAACACCCTTGCAAGGTTTTTAATATTATCTTGATTCCACTCTCCTACAAATAGGGCATCATCGGCATAACAAAAATGTGAGATGGTTGTTTCCGAGTGTGGAACTTTGATTCCTCGAAAAATCCCCTTTTGACAAGCCTCCCTCATAGCAATATTAAGACCTTCCATTGCAACTATAAAAAGGAAAGGTGATAAAGGATCGCCCTGCCTCACACCTCTCTTCATTTGAAATTCTTTCATTGGAGAGCCGTTAATAAGGACTGATAATCAAGCTGAATAAAGACATCCTCTAATCCACATTCGCCATTTATCTCCATACCCCATTTGACTAAGAATCGATTCCATATATTCCCAATTTACGGAGTCAAAGGCTTTTTCAAAATCTACTTTTAACAATAGCACATGTTTTTTGACTCTTTTTGCCCACGTGCATAGTTTGTTAACTATTAGTGGTCCATCTAAGATATTCCTTCCCTCCACATACGCTGATTGAGCTTCTCCGATGTTCTGACCGATTACCTTTTTGATTCGATTAGCTAAGAGTTTTGAGATTATCTTATACATGCATCCAATCAGACTGATAGGTCTATAATCTCGTAGGTTTAATGGATCTTTGATCTTTGGGATAAGGGTGATAAAGGCCGAATTACATCCCCGTTCCAATCTTCCATATCTTTCGAAGTGTTTTACATAATTTATGATATCTTTGTATAGTATACCTCAATATTTTTTAATAAAACCGAATGTGAACCCATCCGGTCCGGGTGTTTTATCTCCATCGCACGCCCATACAACCCTTTTGACTTCATCTACTGTGAACGGTTCTTCAATTTCAGAACTAGCACTCGGAAAGCTTGCTAAAACTGTCACTAATAATTTTTGGCCATGATGGCCACCGCTCCTGGAATTTCCCCTGGAAGAAATTGAACGCCTCAAGTTTAATTGCATCTGCTTCAGTGGTCCATGATCCGTCAATGATCAGACCATGTATTCGGTTTTTGCATCTCCTGTTGTTGACATACCCATGAAAGAACCGAGAATTCTCATCTCCATCTACAACCCACCTTATTCTGGACCGTTGTTTTAGATCCGTCAACCTTAGTTTCTCAAGTTCTGCAATCCTTTGGAACCCAAGAGTTCTTTCATTAATTTCATCACTTGAGAGAATACAATTTTCAGCCTCAATCTCCGGTTTGTGTGTCCTCTCTTTGAGTTCTTTTAATTCCTTCATCTCTCTTAGATAATCATTTGCTCTCCAAATTTTTATTTCCTTTTTTAGATACCTAAGCTTTGAAGCCAAATACGCATCTGGGGTACCGTAACCCTTAAATTTCTCCCATGCCTGTTGAATTATATGCTCACAACCTTCACGTTTCAACCAGGAAGTGAAGAACCGGAATGGAGCTTTTGATGGGTTTTATACAAACAATCATATGTGTGCATGCAACCCTAGATTTGGATCTATGTTTTCACTATTAGATATACAACTTTATGAACACATGAATAAAACCCTAAAGTATCTTGCTATTTTCGAAATTCACATATAAGGTTAGATTACATACCTCTTGTTGTTATATTGTAATAACAACTTAAATCTTCAAACCCTAAGTCTTGAAAGCAAGCACCACAAGTGTAGTGCCTCTATTGGCTCACAAACACCACAAGCAATTGGAGAGGCTAGAGAGAGAAGAAGAGAGGTAGAAATCGGCCTAGGGATATCTTAGGAACATGTGGGGCGATTTCTCAAGGCCTAGGGGTCTTTATATAGGGTTGGGATTAGAGTTTCAGTCGTTATCCTTATCTAGTTACTTGTCCACCAAGCAACCATAAGATAAGCCTTGATAACCCTTATCTCTTGGACCATATGGACGATTTCAAGGATATCCAATCCCTTGAATTCGTCCACCCTTCTCCAAGGATAACCATTGCCTTATTTTGCAACTATCACATAATTACAATTCAGCCCCTCTAGTTTAATTAATTACACTTGATAACAAAATTAATTCCTAATTAATTATTGACCAATATTAATTAAACAAATATGATTTCTCCTTTAATATATTATTCTTATAACATATTAATAAATCATAATAACCTCTTTCTCTATTTATTTCTCCATTCAAGTTGCTTTGGTGAAGGCAACCTAAAAGGATCATGCATAACCGGGTCAACTATTTACCAAATATGGTTACAGGCTTAGATACGAATCCAACAGCTTTCCCAAAGTCAACATCAGCAGTGCGAAGGTTGGTAGGGAAATGATCAGACAGCTCCCTTGGTAAAGCTATAGCTGATACATTAGGAAAAATCTCCATGAAGTTCTTACAAACTAGGACTTTATCGAGTTTGCTCATCTTGACACTGGGCCGACAACAATAGGTGTATCTACTTCCCCCATTCTGAGATCATGTAAATTTTCTAGAACTATAAATCGGTTGAACCAGAATGCTTCAGAGTGGTCGAACTGGGAGTTATATCTTTCGCATTCTCTTCTTACAGTGTTGAAATCCCCAAAAATTACCCAAATACTCTTTTTCATTGCTCTAATCTGTCTCATCTCTTCCCATAGCTTCTTCTTTTCTTGCGAATTGTGAGGGCCGTATATATTTGCAAAAACCATTTGGCCTTGAATTCCAGAGCACTTACCAATAGTAATTAAAAAATGTCTCGCTTTAATTATTTCATCTACCTGGTATAAGCTGGAATCCCATATGTTGAGTAATCCCCCAGATCTCCCAGTAGATGAAGTTGTTACGTGCCCAAAATCTCCATTACCCCAACAGCTTCTAACATCAATTTTACTTGTATCCGTTAGTTGAGTTTCCTGTATCCCCAAATACATTGTATCATATTTAGTTGTTAATCGCCTCACCCACTCAATCTTATAATCTTCGCCAAAACCCCTTATATTCAAGCTTAAAATATTCATTGGGGGATGTTTTGCTCTCCAGTTACACCCATTGCTTCCCTTAATATAGGGTTTCCGGATTCAATTTCGAAGCTCACTTCCTTACCTACCTCTACAGTTCTGGCCAATTCAAGAGAAAAGGAGCTCTAGATACTACTGGTGGAACAATTGGGGGCAGCATCAGGTTTTCTG